TTTTTTTTGCAAAACCGGGGATTGAACTCAGGCCCTTGCGCTTGCCAGGGAAGCATTTATTCCACTGAGCCATCTCCCCGGCCCCCTATTAATCCATTTTCTTGATGATGGCCATTAGAATTATTTCCACGTTTGTGCTATTACGAGTATAAATGCAATAACCATTTTGGTAGAAGCTTTTGAAAAAACACATTGTTTTATTTTGTGGGTAAATCACTTGAGGTGAAATTGTTGGCTTATAAGATAGATATTTTTAATCCTACAAAAACAAATTTCTGGGCTGGGGAGATAGCTCAGCAGAATAAGCACTTGCCTGGCAAGCACAGGGTCCTAGAGTTCAATCCCCAGTACTGCAAACAAAAAAAAAATTCTGTAATTTCTCTAGTGATTTTCCATTTTATATTCTCACCCTTGCTATCCTGTCCAATTTGTTGTAGATCTAAGTGTAGAAATTCCAGTGGTTATGAAGTATTAACTGAGTAGGGTTTTCATTTGCATTTCTATAATGTCTAACAATGTAAGGCTGTATGTTCACTGAGTATAAGTCATTTTTGTAACAGTATTCAAGCATTTATAATGAGTATTTTACCTTTATTACTTGCACAAGTTACTTACATAATTGTTTCATAATAAATGTATATTATAAAACTTTTCAAAAAGAAAGATTTTTTTCCCTAATTTATCTCTCAGTGAGTTTGTGTACAGGAATGCTATTGATATGCCACATTGTATCCTGTTATGCTACTGAATTTGATTATTAAATCTCGGAGTCTGTGGTGGAGTTTTAGGGTCTTGCATGTAGAGTATCATGTCAAGGTGATTTTGATACAAGTCAAGAATGTCTAGCTTTTTGCTATACAGAAGAGTTAATATCATTCCAGGCACAGAAAGCAACATTTTCTCAGGGATTAGCTACAAATATCCAAGCACATAACTAATAGAGAAATCAAGGAATTGAAAGAGGCTCATGGTGCCCTAAAAACCATGCTTCACCTGCAAGTTCAGCCAAAATGCCAGGAGAAAGGGAAAAATCCCTGAGGCCGCATCACCCCAGGGATGCTCCATCACCCCAGGGATGTTCCATATCTACCTGAGAAGAGACCTGCATCATTTGAACTGTTCCTCAAAAAAATGTTCAGTGCAGCTCTGTGTAACTTTAAAGCCACCAAGAGCCAATTTTATAGCATTCTCTGAAGCATGCACAGTGACATGGGACAGTAGGGTGATGTGGAGATTCTGAGGTGAACACGGACATGGGTTGTGTCATACCCATTCACCTAGGGATAGCGACATGCAGTCACACAAGTGGACTTGGCCTGGTCACTCACCATGAGGGACAGAGGTCTGGGATGGAAACACACAAGACAGTGCCACCTCCACTCTTCAAGTAAAGACAGCAGGTGTCTCTGAGCACTCTGTTCCTAAGTCTGGGCAGGGCTGCAGTCTTTGACTCCATCATACCTATTAATGACTACAATTCAGGTAATTTTCATATTCTTTGATATTATAATGATATTGTATCATATAGCAATGTCAGACATTAGGGGAAAGCCCAAATATTACCTATTTTTAATTTTTATTATACTATACTTATAGTATATAGTAATTGTGCTCATGCCAAAGACATCCTCGTATGTCCGCACACTGCAGAAAACTGAATTGCTCCAGAAAGTCTCTGTGGACCAAGATCAGATAGTCTCTGACACAAAATCACAAGAACCAATGAGGAGAACAGAAAGATTCCAAGGTTAATTTTCAGTGACACACTTTTCTCTATCAGACTGCCATCCTCATCCTCAGAGGTCCCCTGACAATTGATCTGTTTGCCTCCTTCCCTAATAGAATAGGTTATCTTGAAGGAATCTAAACAAACAGGACAGAACAAAGGAAAAAGCTATTCAAACCCATATATATTTGTCAAAATTTTCTTCTTTGTACTGGGGACGCTTATTTAGGGACAATGGGTCAGGATGTCATATCGTACAGCAAAATGGGCAACAGTAATTAACTGAATTCACGCAGCAGTGAGTACAGCAAGTGCTGATTTTTCCTGACACAGAAAGATGGTAAATGAGTGAGGTGAAGGATATGTTAATACCCCTCACCTGGACATTACACTTTCTACGCTTCTATTGGGATACAACACTGTGACCCATAAGTATGTAAAATCACTATTTCTCAATCAAAACACAAATGCATTTTTGAATGTATGCTTTCCATTTGGACTAGGTTTGAGCCTCCAAATTACCAAAACTCATGCTATTGTTAGATCATGGAAGCCAACCAAGTTCCTAAAACTGAGTGAGAACACCTATCCTTGGAATAATATTACAGGATACCCTGAGGTCTCAGGTTATGAAGGAAAATCACCACAAGTAAAATTATATCCTTATATTAGAGGATCATATTCTTGAATAATTTACAGAAAGCAAATTGCACTTCAACAATTACACTATTGTTTCAAATCTTCTTCCCATCCCTCATCTTCCTCTCACCCCATCCCTGGCTTCCCTGTGTTCCACAATTTCCTCATAGCAATTTTCACTTCTGCATTTCTGAGTGTGTAGATGATGGGGTTCAGCATGGGGGTGATGACCGTGTAGAACACAGCCACCAGCTTGTCTTCCATATAGGTGGAGGAGGGACGCAAGTAAAGGAAAATGGCAGGTCCAAAAAACAAGAGGACCACAGTGATGTGAGAGGCACAGGTGGACAAGGCTTTGCGCCTGCCCTCTGCAGAATGGTTCCTCAAGTTGACCAGGATGACAACATAGGAGGACAGCAGGATGAGGAAGGAGCAGAGAGCAATCAATCCACTGTTGGCCAATACAGTGACACCTTCCCCATAGGTGTCAGTGCAGGCTAGCTTGAACAATGGCTGGAGGTCACAGAAGTAGTGGTCAATCACATTGGGACCACAGAAGGGCAAAGGGATGGTGATGAGAATCTGAATTATGGAATGAAAAAAGCCTCCAAGCCAGGAGCAAGTCACTAGGCCATGACAGAGTTGGCGACTCATTGTGGTCGTATAGTGAAGTGGCCTGCAGATGGCCACATAGCGGTCATAGGCCATCACCACTAGCAGGAGGATCTCAGCAACCCCAAAGAAGTGGAAGAAGAAGATCTGAGCCAGACAGCCCTTGAAGGAGATGGTTTTCATCTTGGCGAGTAGATCTGCAATGAACTTGGGGACCACAGTGGAGGAGTAGCAGATCTCCACCAGGGACAGGTAGCCCAGGAAGAAGTACATGGGAGAGCGCAGGCTGCCACTGCCACTGACCGTCAGGACGATGAGGCCATTGCCCACCAGTGTGGCGAGGTACACGGGAAGGAAGAGCACGAAGCACGCTCTCTGCACCTGTGCGTCCTGGAAGAGCCCGGTGATGATGAACTCGGTCACGTTAGTTGTGCTGGCCATGGGCTTAATCCAGGGTGCTGGATGCTGGGTGTTGGAAGCCTGAAATAAAATAAAGGCTCTATCACCAGTACACTTCATCTGTAGCACTGTGGAGAGTGTAAAGCACTTCTCTTGGTCATACATGCAACCAGTATGTACTTGGTATCAGCTTCTTAGTGTTTTATAGTGATGTGATATATGTAATTTCAGCATTTAAAAAAGAGGGTCAGATAAATGATAATTTTCTCTTGATTGGACCAAATCTGATGCATCCTGAGACTCAGACCAGCCTTTCTCACTTTGACCATGGGTGTAATTACAGCAAGAGATTCTGGGATTGGAGCCACTCAAATGCATAGCCTGTATCTGCTTCACCCCACCAGGATGTCTCTGCCTCCTGGGGCATCACTCGGCTGTGTCTCTCTCCTGCCATCACCAATGCATGGGGAATGACTCGTTTTCTCTTGCTCACCCTGCATCACTGCTGTCACTTCCGCCTCTTCACAGGCTACCTGCTCATGCCTGCATCTCCAGTGACCTCGGAGTCCTTACGTGCCCACCCCATCCACTCTGTGTCTGCACTGAGAGTGCTGCTTCCCACACCACCTTTCTTCAGCCCATTCTACCGCTTGGGGTCACCAGGGACAACACTCAGTTTCCTCTTACTCTCTAATGGTACACATGCTCTGGGCCACCTTCACAGTTCCTCAATTATCCACTAAACTTCAGCTTACCCAGGCTTAAGCCTGCCTGTCCCTCCCTGGCCCAGAGCCCCCATCACCAGAAACACGGTCTCCTTATCTGTCCCGCATCTCCCAAGCCCAGCTCCTGACCAGTCTGTTCGGTCAACTTTAATCCTCCCACTCATGTGTTTGTTCTTCGTTCTAAGAATTGAAAACGTACCCCGATCATCTTCCTTCTATCCTAATCTCCCTCTGTCGTTTCATCACCTGCACCCTAACAACACCTTTCTACTGCCCAGGCCATTAATTGTAATAAACACAAACAGAAAATTGAGGCCTCTTTTTGAACTGGATACAGCTTATCTTTGCTCCCTTAATGTCACTCCGCTCAGGAACACAACATGATTATTTCCTAAGGCAAAAGGCCATCTCTAGCTGCCCTAGATTACCTGAGAACATCTGTACTGCAAAAGGAAGGGACTCTCCCCTTCATGTCCCGATGCCACATCACCATCTCTCTAAGAGCAATTCACTATTTTGTGAGCTGTGTCTTTACTCAAAAATATGCTTGTCCACTTTTAAAATTATGTTTAATAGGTTTTTAAATTTTTATTTTTATTTGGTAGATAATATTACCTACAATTTCAATACTACTGGCAATATGCCAAGCACTATAGAAGTGCTCTGTGCCCATGAATTCACTCAATACCATCATGCCCTTTTAGCTTTGAGGAAACAGAAACAAGGGCCAGCAAGACAGCTCAGTGGACTAGATACCTGCTTAGGCAAGGGCAGGGACCAGGGTTTGATCCCCAGCACCATAGCCATGCTGGCCCCAGCCCTGGGGCACTGAGCAGGCCACTGAGACCAGGCATGGTGGTGCATGCCTGTAATCCCAGTGCTGGGGAGGCTGAGACAGGAGGATCACTGTGAGTCTGAGCTGTGTAGTGAGATCCTGTACCAAATGTGAGAGAGAGAGAGAGAGAGAGAGAGAGAGAGAGAGAGAGAGAGAGAGAGAACAGTGAATGAAATCACCTAAAGCTACACAGCTGCAGAGACAGTTTTATACCCTGCAGCAAGACATACAGGACATGCTTCTTAAGCCCTGCCACATGTTGTGGGAAGCCATAGCGTACAGACACAACACATGAAGAAAGAGTGCAAGTTAAACAGAACATTCTCTTAGATGTCAAAGAAAAATCAATTCGCAGCCTAAAGACACACCTCAGATCTGGGCTCAGATGCAAGCCAGTTCCGACTCATCAAAAAGAATTGGTCAGTTTCAAATGCCCCAGTTACCTTTCAGCAGATTCTAGTCTGCAAAAATTGTGCAAGAAACTCCCCCCTCCAGATTCCTCCCTAGAAAGACTGCTCCTTTCCAAATCTTGGAGAGTCCAGTTTTTTTCAAGTTTTATCCACATAAGGAAGCACATCTGAGAGGTTTCCTACTTGAAAGCTACCTTTTCCTATCCTCTCTCTCTATTTTTTCCTCTCTCTTCTACTCTCATCCCTCTTTCTCTGCCACTCATCTGGTGAGAAATACCTCTGACCCCCAAAGCTGCCTTCCCTGCAATTGCAGGAAGAAAAGATGGCTAACTCATACACACACACAATGTGTAGAATATACGCTAGCCAATGTACTCTGTGTGGACCAGAGCACAAAATAGAACCTGCACCCGCTCACAGGCCCCCACCTGGTAATTCCTAAATAATACCTCACAGAATCACCAAAACTTACTATGTCATTTCACAAATGAATTTCTGTAACTCCGAGCAGTCAACTGACTTACCCAGTGTCCTAAGTTGCTTAGAAATTTTGCACTTGGCTTCAGGTCACATCGCCTACCTTTAGGTCACCAGAGCTGGTGTGGGCTTGCTGTGCTTTGGAACCTGGACTTGGACCAGAAAGATTTCAAATGTGCTCCGAGTATCTCCAGTGCAGTAAGGACGTGGGCTGCTCTCCTAAAACAGATCATTGAGCAAGGACCTAGTTTGGTTCGCAACATTCGATTTGGGAAGAAAATCAACCCAATTAGGTTGGTTGGATTCCCTGAAGAGCCTGGTCCGTGGGCTTGGAAGCAGTGTTGGCAAATGTCACCACCTGCTGATCTAGCTTGCAGAAATTGACCTGGGACAAACCACCAGGCTCCTCCCTAAAGAGCCTGGTCCTTGAGCATGTGAGAATTCCTTATGGAAATCAGCACCCAGCTGACTTCTCACTGAAGGCCCTCAGTGAGCAAGGCTGAGGCCACACTCAGCTGAGCCTCCCTGGTGGTGCTGATGTTTGGAGAAACGTTCTTCTAACTCTGATGTGCGTGTGCAAGATGGCAGAGGCTGGGGCAGGCTAACTGGGCTCCTGAAACCACTCTGCTGTGAGGATGCTGTTAACGAGGTGGGAAGGCAACGCTCTTCCAACTTGGGGCTGCTTTTGATGGGACGGGCTGTGCTACTTCTGCAATTCAAGGGCAGGATTGGGCCCCTGGAACAAACCAGTGGTGGTCCTGGTACCTTAGACAGCAAAGTGGATGAAATATAAGATAATTGCAAAGACAGAAAACTTCAGGGGATTTGTAACAATGTTATTCTTTGAATTTAAAACATTTAAGAAATAAAAACCAGTCCATTCTGTATCTGTGTATTCAAAGTGGTTGGGGTAGATATATAGTTGCATTGTCTTAATGAATGGAATGACTTGTTCTAATGGTGTTTGTAAATAGGATCACAAGTCCGCATCTTGTACAGCAATTAACCACTAAGAA